TCTGCAGACTAACCTTATTGTAGAGTCCTTGCTCCTCTCTGCAAACTAGTTCCCTCTTGTCCACCCCAGGGTGAGCTGACCACTGCCACTCTCTTCTGTTTTGACAGAAATCAGGAATGAAGACTATCCGACAGAGAGGCTAAGGAAATTCCCATCTGCTTTCTGGGGTGGTCTAGTATTTAGATGGACTTCAAAGGATACTCTTCAAAAGCCCAGTTTTTTGAACAGGTGATTGATCTGAAGTTCCAGTTTGCAGTAAGTTTGAGAAAGGCGGAGGTGACTTTTATAAGATTTGTTGGAGTCAAATTCCTTCCACTCCCACGCCAACCAGACTCTGTCTTTCCTACAAGCACCTGCCAGACATCACCAAGGAAAATGCAAAGCTGTATTACTAACGGTGAGAAGAAAAAGAGAACAAGTTCGAACTTGCCATATATGGGATGTGACTTTCAACAAAGAAAGGCCCTGCTTCCTGTTGGACAGTAACACCGAGCAGCTCAGAACAACACAATGGTAGGAAAATGCTGAGCAGACTACAATAAACCAAGGAATGAGCAGGGCCCAGGTTTTTTCTTTAAACCAACATATGTGGCTGGGTGGGTTGTGGTGTTTTATTTACATTGCCATGCAACAGAGGAAAAAAAATGAAGGTGATTTCAATGAAAGGCACAGGAACAGCATGCTATCTGATTGCAGTGCCTGACAGATGTTAGGAGGGGATATCAACCATGATATCAGAAATTAATTTAGTAGAGTCAATGACTAGATTTGACTTTAATTTTAAAAATTCAGTGATGAATACAGTCAGTGGCCTGGGGCCAGGGAGTGCTATGCTGGCTCTGGCAGAAGCTAGCAGAATGTTTAGAAGACTGGGAGCAGAGCTGAAGGAAATTTAAACCCAGCTGCCAGAAGAAGGCTGTGAATCAATCTGTCAAACTGAAGATCAGAAAACACACCAGCTGCCTCTGCGCCTGCCTTCTGGCAGTCTCCTGACAGGACAGGAAGTGCTGTCACCCAGGGGAACCTTATACCTCAGAAAGGCAGAGTCTACATGGACATGTTACACTCTAAGCCACAGCCGCGGCCTACCCTTCCAGAAAAAGCCCTCCAACCAGGAAAAAGCAACTTCAGAAGCTAGGGTGGGGCTTTTCTGTGATCAGGGAAGGTGGGTACCTGCGTCCTTTATCCCACACAGGTGCTTTCCCTCAAGTCTTTAGGCACTTGTTTCAGTTTGGTTGTGCAGGTACATGGAAGGATGCCCATACCGGTGCTGCTCCCTGCACCTGTGGAACCAGAGGAGAAGAGGTCCCCAGATTTCCCTACTGGGCTCAATCTGTGCAAGCAAAGAACAATGGCCAGGGAATAAGTAGACAGAGGTGGGTCCAGTCTCCAGATGAAGTTGATAGCTGATTCTCTGTGCAAATTAGGAGTGCTATGCATATCCACTTTTCCAACCTGCAGATTCATTAATTCATTCTGCAGATATTTATTGATTGTTTCCTATGTGCTGGGCTCTATTCTAGGGGTTGGGATATAGCTAGCTGTGAACACAATGGAAACAAATTCTTGCTTTCAAAGTGTTCTAAGTTCTAGCAGGACAAGACCATAAGTACAATGTGAGAGGATGAGGCATACTCATCCCCAAAGGAAGCCAGGCTGCGAGTCATTTAGCACATGTATGTACTACTCACAGACATTAAGGACTCAGGAGAAAGAGAGCTGACATTAGTCAGATGCCTACTATGTGAAAGCCACTTAATAAAGAATGTAACACTTTTGAGCACTTGCTACATGTGAGGCTATAGAAAGGTGAGGCTAGATACTTTACATATTCCTTTTAATCCTCTCAACAACTCTATTACTCTGGTTGCACAGATGAGAAACTGATCCCAGAAGTAATTATGATGAGCGGGAGTAACCGCCTGCTTGAGGTCTCCACACTCAGGCCTGCTGGCTTCACTGTTCAGTTTGTGACTCATATTCCCTTGGCTCTGGTCCTCAGATGGTAGACGCTGGGGCTCACCTTTGCTCACCTCCATTCTGCAGCGCTTTAAGAGTCAGCCCCCCATCTCTGTCTTCAGGAGACATTTCCATTCATAACTATGATCCCTTCTCTGAACTCCTTAATGAGATCATACATAGAAAAGGCTGTTTCTGACCACAGTGACTAACAAATGGAAACCCTCAAACTGGCTTTCTTGCTATTCCTCATCCTTACTGTATTTTTGGTCAACATGTCACACTGTTTGATTATATATCTATTTTTGTTGTTCTATATGCATTGGTCTCATTTTCTCAATTAGCTTGGAGGGAACAGTGTTTTATAGCTAAAACTGGTTATGTGTTTAGTAATTGTTGAATAGTGCTCTCAAACTTGCTCATAGATCAGAATTGCTTGGATGGCCTATTAAAACAGACTGCTGGGTCCCTCCCAGAGTTTCTGATTCAGCAGGTCTGGGGAGGGGTGAAAAATGTGCATTTCTGACAAATTCCCTGGAGACGCTGATGCTGCTGGTCTGAAAGCCACACTTTTGAGAACCACTGGTTAACTGAATGTACCAAAGTATTTGGAGCAAGTAGGCAGGATTCGAGTCCCATCTCTTCCACTCTTAGCTGTGTGACATATTTGCGCCTCTGTTTTCTCATCTGTAAAAATGGGATGACAGCAGGCACATCCACACTGTCATGAGGATGAACTGTAATAATGAATTTAGTGTGTTTAGTGCTGTCCCTGACACTCTGAAAACAGCCAGCAAATGCTTCCAATTGTCCCTGGAAAGGCTGGCACAGCATCCGGCATTAAATAAGCACTGGACCCAGCTTAATAACTCCTTTTTATGAAACTTATTTTGAATTTATAAGCAGTGAGAGTAAAGGGTGTCACTGTTACATATCTATAATTAACAGCTTTTTAGCCTGTGTGTGTTTGAACCTAGGGCCTCACACATGCTAGGCAAGTGCTCAACCACTGAGCTATGTGCTCTTTTTAAATTTTGAGACAGGATCTTGCTAAGTTGCCCAGGCTGGTCTCAAATTTATGATCCTTCTGCCTCAGTGTCCCAAATAGCTGAAATTACAATGTGGGTCACCAGGCCTGGCTTCAGTAACAGGTTTTGCAATTAAGTAGGACTACCACAAAGTGTGTGGGGGTGCAGGGAAGAGTTGAGAAGTGCCCCTTCCTCTAGTATGTTGGATATAATGCCCTGGGTACAAAACTCATGCGTGTCTTCCACATTCAGAGGCTGTCACAGTGCCTCCTCCACATGGCTTACTGCTTGCTGAAGGATGCTGAAGACGGCCTTTGATGAGCTTGGACTTGTTAGGGTAGCCCTGTTGTCTGGACTAATGGGTTGGCAGGCACAAACAGATCCCTTCATTCAATAATTAATCACTGTAGTTATGGGAAGACAAGCTCCCCAGAGCAGACTGGACAACCACCTCCTCCAGCCCAAGGGTTTCAAAACACTCAGGCCCCCGCTGTTCCTTCCTCCTCTAAGAATCTCTCCACCCAAAGCAGACTTGCGTTTTCCCTCAGGGTCTATCTGAGCACACTCACTGGCTGGCATTCTAAGAAAGCCCAAGAGATTGTGAGCAGAAAAGCCAGTGTTCAGATCTTTCTCACAGTCCTCCAAGGCCTGGGACAGAGTGTATTCCGTATTCCGAGAGCTAGGGATGGATGGTCCAGCCCTGTCCAAGCCCCAGTAGAATGCAAGTCAAAGGTCATTGCCCTCTCTGAGAACCGCTGACCCCCAGAATGCTGTCAGTTGAATAAAAGCCTGTAAAGTTGAATGAGATCATCTGTGGGGGCATTAGTATTAGCGGGGCCGTGGGTGGGCGGGGACTGTGGAAAGATACCGCTGCTTTTTGGAAGCCCCTCGGTCCCCTGCCTTCACCGGAAAGCACCCACCTCTCCTCATCCAGCGGAGCCCTCCCCTAACACCCCGAAAAGGACGACCCTTCCCACCCCCAAAATTGGCACCCCAGCCCCCTTTTCCTAAACACACCCCCAGGGGCAGGTGCTGTCCACACACACTCTGGATGGGGCGCCACCCTAGGCAGCTCCAGGGCAGGGGTTCCCTCCCGATGCTGGGCGCCCGCGAGGCGGCGGGCGGGAAGGGGGTGTGTGCGAGCGTCAGGCCTCGTCCTGCGGAGACAAGAAGTGGGGACCGCACCTGGCGTCACCGGCCGAGCAGCGACAGCCAGGCAGAGGGGTCCTCCGGGGAGGAGCGACACCAGATCTCCCTTCTCACGGCTCTCCTCGGCTCACCCTTCCTTCTCGGACCTCTCCCCTTCACCGGTCCCCTCCCTCTTTGTCTGCCTCCAGGCCTCCCCCAGTCTCGCACTCTGCCCTCTCGCAGAGCCCAGCTGGATGCCGCGGCGCCCACCTCCCCGGAGACCCTGGCCCTCGCCCCGCCCCTGCCCGGCCCTGCCCGCTGGGGTCTCACCCAGAAGAGCAGGTTGAAGCCGAGCAGCAGGTACTTGATGCACCGCAGGCCCCCGCGGAAGCGCCCCATGCTGCGACCCCGGCGGCGGGCTCCCGAGTCCCCAGGCTCGCGCCCCGAGCCCGGGAGGGACTGGCGCCGGCGGGGAGGGAGGGGCGGAGCGCGCGGCCGGGGGCGGGGAAGGGGCGGGGCCTCGGGGACCCCAAGCAGCCAGCCAGCGAGCGGTGGAAGCCGCGGGGTTGCAGACCCGGTCTCCAGGAATCCCCTTTCCCTCAGGGGGCGTGAAGCACCTCCTCCCCGCGCCAGCGCCCCAGCCTTGGGATCCACACACCCTGTGCCTAGCTCCTTTGAGGCCAGGAGTGAGTGCTGAAGGATAAGGACGCGGCCTCGGTGGCTATGGAAACCGAGGACGTTGACTTCGGGCAGAAGAGATGACTAGGACTCGAGGCCGCCTTGGACCTGCCGGACCCTGGTGGTGTCCGCGGCAGTGGTTCGCGGCGCCCTGAGGCCGCTGCAGGGGACCCTGGCTCCCCCGCCCGCGCTCCCGGAGACGCTTACCTTAATAGGCAAGGACGAGACGCTGCACCCCTCCCCACTCCGCGGCCCAGCGAGAGGAGCCGGACTCCTCCTATCCTGCGGATTCCACCGGTGGGAGGGCTTGAAAGGAATCCAGATTCTCAGGGTCTTAGTTTTGATGTGACGATGGGAGGAAAGGGGGACGTCTCCTGTTCTGCTTTGCTTTTATTAAGTTAGGCTGCTGGCAGGGAAATCGGGCTCCCACTTGGGTTGCCTGAGAGTCTGCAATATGTGGTGTCAGACAGGAGTGGGGAAGCAGGAAAGTGTAAGATTCAGGGAGCTCAGGTATTAATACAGCAACACTGAGCGCCTGTTACAGGTCAGGCATAGTAGCAAGCCCCAGAATGGACAAGGAGGAGACAGCTGGGCCTGCTATCACGCCTCTGGTGGCAGAGTCAGGTCTGTGAGCAAATAACTGCAGCGAGGTGAGAAGGGTGGGCCAGGAGCTGGGCCAGCGCAGGCCTCTCTGCCTGCACCAGGGAGGGCTTTGCTGAGAGCCCCTGAAGCGTGAGTTCCGGCAAGAGGAAGGGCAGCCCTTACGGACCGACCGGACCGACAGCGGGTGCCGACCTCCAGGGCAGGGGAGAACAAGGCGTCCTAGCCAAAGAAGAGAAATGCAACTTGCTCAGGTAGAGCAGGCAGCTGAGCAATGTGCACAGTACCCTATCGTGAGCCTCGGTTTTTCTCATCTGCAGCATAGAAATGATAGTACCTGCCTCAGAGTTAGGAAAATTAATGTGTTAATATGTGTAAAGTGCCCTGGATAGTGCTGGGCACACAGTAAGTCCGATCAATACAGGGTTAGCTGTTGTTCTATTGCACTCTCTCAGCCATTGCTATCTCTATCCTGTTGCCATCTCGGCCTGCATCTGCTTCTCTGAGCATATGGTTGACTGTCTAGTGAATTTTATTTATGAAAATGAGTAGAAGAAGAAAAATGAAAGCGCTTATTCTGGTAGCAAGTGTAAGTTTCATTCAGTGAGCAAAGATAGAAGTCATTAGGTATGCAGAGGCAAAGCTTCGGTTTCAGTTTAACACAGCTCTATATTTGTCACCTCTGTCTTACTATCAAGGAAAAGAACTAAATTCATGTCTGGTACCTCCAGGTATACAATAAATTAACCAAATAAACAATACTAGTATTATGCTTTAAATTGAATTTTATGTCTCCAAGACAGAATACATTTAGACATCATGTATTCTGTATTCTCTGGGAGTAGTACCCCTGTTATGGTATATAAATCCGTTGTTCTTTCACACTATCATTTTAGCACACTTACATTAGAGACAGATGACTTCCTGCCCAGCATCAGTTTTTAGATTTTGAGTGTAGATTTGTTCAGCCCCCTTTCACAAAATTGTATGTCTTAGGGGAAGCTGACTCTTGGCAGGACTAGGCTAAGATAATCCTATTCACCTTGTAATTAGTTCAGAAAACCAACCTTCTGGTGTCCTGGCTAACGGAATGGAGTGGTTTCTACTAGGGTCAGATGTTTTGTCTTCTTCCTCTCGAAGTTATTGGGTCTGGGTGTTATGTGTGAACTTACTGTGTCAATCATGGGACTGGTCTGAGGACAGAGTCAACAGTGAGTACAACGAATCAGAAAGTTGAAAAAACCCAGTTTGTTGATGACATTACTCCACCATCAAGTCAGCCAGTCTCAAGTCAAAATCTGTAGTCCAGAGTTTTGTACATATGTGTTGTATGTATTGTAGCTGAGAGGCATCTGACCTAATAATGCACTTTCAAGAGTACATTATTATATGGAAGCAGAAGACTACATTAAAAGATAATAAGAATTAGCATTTGAACTAATTGTTACTGGCACTGCTCCTCTTTTTCTCCTGACTTGAACTCAGATGTGATCCGTGAAGCTCTAGAGCATGCTGTAACTATGAGGACAGGCCAGGAGAACTGTAGACCTTCCAGCCAGGGCATTGTTTGGCTGTGGAACCAACACCAGCATTTACCTACCTCCAGGTTTCTTGTTACATAAGAAAAATAAACCCCTTTCTGTGTGACTTTGTTTTAGATTGCTTATAGCTGAAGTGCTTCCTAACTGATAGGAGGAAGACAATAAATTCATTTTGGGATCTGCTGAGTTTCAGATCTGTTGGGAAATCCAGATGGAGTGGAAATATGATTGGGAGTCTGTGGAGAAGTTTGCGCTTCAAGTTTAAGGCAAGGATTCATTAAAAAACAGTGTAAAAGCCAGTAGTCTTCAAGCTTTTCCCCATACATTCCCTAAGAGAATTAGGAAAAAATATTTCCCTTTGCACTTTTTCCTCAATATTTTGACTATTTTTAAATATGCAGAAAAGTTGGAATAATTGAGTGAGCACCATATACTTACCACTTAGATTCTAAATAGACATTTTGCTTTAGTTGCATTATCTATCTACGTATCTGTCCATTTGTCAATTTGTCTTACTTATTATGCATTTTAAAACAATGTCTCACATCTAATCTCTTCAGCATACATGACATTAAATACGGTTCAAATGTCTATTTCCACTATTTTAGATAAAATTTACAGCAATAAGATGTGCACATTTTAAGTATACCATTCAATAGTTTTTGACACATACCCAAACCCTGTTAAGATACAGAACATTACTGTTGTTCTGGAAAGTTCCTTTGTATTCTTTCCTGGGCAATCTATGCCCCCACCTCTCTTAGAGGCAAAGATTGTTTTGGTTTTCTTTTGCTATAGATTAATTTTGCCTGTTCTAGAGCTTCATATAAATGGAATTTTACAGTATCCGCTCTCATACATTTAAATTGATATAAAATTTATTATAACTTTGAATATTTTAAAAAGGTGTCATTTCTGATGAATATTAAATATTGACACTTTAAAATAAAATTATCACAGGACTCATTTTAATATATCCTGTAGGAAGCAATGCCAGTGTTATCTGCTATTTATTGTCACCCATTTCAAAAATACATGAGGAATCTCCTCTTTAACAGCATGGCAATTCTACACCTTCCCTTTTTCTCCTTGAACATATTCTTTTATTCCACAAATGTAATCCTAAAGTAATACACGTTTATGCTTGAAAGATTTTATGAATGTCCATTCATACTTGTTTGGACAAATATTGCTATAAGATAGTTAAATTAATTCCCCCCTCCAAGAACCACAGTGTTAATTAATTTCCCTTAGATTGTATTATTGTATTATTCACACAATTATTTTCAGTACAGGACTGATTAAAATAACAAATGTAATTTTAAATGAACAATCAAGAATAAAAGCAAAATATTATTTGAAATGTTTCTCTTAAAGGGATTGGTGGGGTTTGTATTTTTTTCTAGTAGCTTATATATCCATGAATGGAAATTACTTATTACCAGAACAACAGAGTGTTCAGCATAATTTCTCTCAATTTTTTGGTTGCTTTGATATTAATGCTGAGGTACTTAGTTTAGACAAAGTAGATGAGGATAGAGTTGTTATAGTAATGCCAATTAATTCTTTAGACTCCTTCTGAATTAAATGCCCTATTCACACATCAGTCTGTCATCAAGTTTTTTAATGATCAATCCATTTGGCTGACATTTCCATTTCATCTTTCTTCTATTTTGTGGAAAGAATAGAGTTGGAACTCTTCTAACTTAGGAGAGTATTTTTTATATATACTGTAGTGACTGAACTTCTCAACATTTTGGTGGCCCAGGGATTTTTACATCCTAAGGAAATGTACTATAATCAGGTTCAGGATGGGTAGGAGGTAGCTTGGGAAGGCGTCTTCCTTATAGGCATATTCTCAGGCAGCCTGATTCTAGGGAGGAATAAGGATGGCAATTGAGGACCTGAAAACTGATCCTCTTAAAACTATGCATGCTAGGAAGCCTCCTGAAAAATCTTCTCATATGGGCAGACAGGCATGCCCCAGAGATAGACAGCTGTTCTAAGCCAAAAGAATGTGTGATCTGCCCATGGAGAATGTGCCAAGTGTTGGGAACAAAATTTTTAGAACAATATCTTAAGAAGTGAGCAAAGGAGATGTAATACTGTGTTATTTACCTTTTTGTCACTATAGCAAATACCTGACATAAATCAGCTTATAAAGAGAAAAGGTTTATCTTGGCTCATAAATTCGAACTTTCCAGTCCATGATCAATTGGCCCCATTTCCTTTGAGCCTGTGGTAGGTGAGGCAGCACACCATGAAGGAAGCATGCAGTGGATCAAAACTGCTCCCCTCATGTTGGGAAGCGAAAGAAAGAGAAATGAAAGAACTGGGTGCCATTAACCTGTTCAAAGGCACATCTTCAAAGATCTGAAGACTTCCCATTCAGCCCCAGCTATTAAAGGTTCTGGCACCTCTCCATTGTGTCAAGCTGGGACCAGGACTTTGACACACAGGTCTTGCATGGGCATTCTAGATCCAAACTATAGCAACCACTCAAAGGACACTGGTATGAAATGACAAGAAAGGTAAGAGAAAGATCACAAGAAAGTGGTGCCACAGAGGTTGAAGAAGTTTCTGGAATGAGGGAGTGGCCACAGTGCTAGTTCTTCAGCAACAGCAGGTAAGATAACAGTTCTTTTGGGCTGGTGACCTAGTGCTTAAGACACTGGCAACCTAGGTAAGGGCCACTTCAGAAGGATGGTGGGTGCCAGGCCATAATGATTGCTCTTTCTAGGAGTTTAGCTAGAAGAGTGATAGAAGATGGGTTGGAAGCAAGTTTTCATTTCTTTTTTTCTTTCTTTCTTTTCTTAGTGGGAAAGATGGAAATGTGCTCATACTCCTTGGGCATATATCAGGAGGGAGAGAAATTGAAAAGAAGAAAAGCAAAGGGGTGTGTCCCTGAAGACACAGGAGGAGTCCAAAAGCAGGGCATTGAAAGGGTTCACATTTGAGCAGCAGAAACCGGGCAAAGGTGGAGCTGCAGAAACTTATATTCTGTATCTCTGAATCCCAACTTTTCCACTCTTTGTGGTCTGGTTTTGCTGCCTATGTAATTTTCTCCCCATTGTATTTAGTGTCTTACTCCTTGTGGATTGTGTAATTAAAAAAAAATTGTGAGCAGGTCATTTTCTTTGGAAAATTGTGGAAATTGTTGGAGCTCTCAGTTGATGTTTTGCTCCTTCAGAAAGGGTTTACTTTGCCTTCTGCAAATCA